AGTTATTTATAAATATACAGGATAATCCATAAACGATTGTCTGACCAAACCTATACATTTTTAAAGTAAAACTTGACTGTTTTCACATCGTTTCAATAATTTCAATTTCATTCATTTGCTATGTTGTATATAGGATGTGTGAAAATGGTCACGATTTTCTTAATTTTCTAAATGGAACACCTTGTATGTTATGCCACCAATTAATATAATATTCCATTGAAAAAAATTTAAGCATATGTAACCTCGCGTGTTGACACACTCTATATAGAACATAGCAAATGAATAAAGTCAATTAAAATTATTTGACGACGTGAAAACAATCAAATATGTATAACTACCTGCAGGGTGTTTTGATTTAAAAATGTATAGGTTTGGTCAACATCTCGTTTATGGACCACCCTGTATATATAGGAATAATTTTTAATATGGTCATATAACTTTTATATTATTTTTTTTTCTTATTTCTAATAATAAAACAGCTATCGATCAATTACGCACTGATGAGACACTCTGTATATATGTTATTCTCTAACATGTTGGTATCGTTGGATATGCAAATTTATAAGGAATTGTATGCTAAAATATTATATCAAATGCTGCCTTTGAAAAATTGAGTAATTTGACTTAAAAGTAACAATTTTAAGACATGTTTCAAAACACTCGCTATAAAAGAATCCAGCACTATCACTACTATTCGTTATCTTAATGTGCTATAAGTCAGTATATTAAACAATTTTGAATTATGATAATTTAATTTAGGGTCTGCATTATTTTCTAATTTTATAAAAATTTAATTGCTTGGCAGACCTGTAATATTTTTTTAAATTATTCTAAGGTTGAATACAGTATTACCGAACCATTCTAAAATTGAAATAAAATACATGTTCTATTTTAAAAATATACCAAGCAAAAATGTAGCACCCTGTATATATCTAAAAATATTTTTAAAATATGTATTTTTTAAATCCATATAACTTTTTTTTTAAACATGTTTGCGTGTCTTTAACATAAATTAAAATATTGAACAATTACGCACTAATAGGACATACACATGGGTACATACACATAGCAGTCAACGTGTTAACTCAGAAATAAGATTCCTTATAAAGATAAAATAACATTCAGGAGAAAAAAGCAAAGACCGCCAATATTACGTGCGTATCATACAATGATGCCAGGTCATTCGGATTTAATTTACATCGGAATGCAATAAAGTTCCTTCCCTTTCCTGCATTTCACTATTGTATATTTCACCCACTTTAAAATCAAATTCGTCCTAGAAAGAATTGTGAAATTATCGTATAAATCGATAATCTGGCAACGTGGTCAACACTTGTTCATACACAGGCAAAATCAATCGATAATTTGGAACCAAACGAGACATATATATGAAAAGCACGAAACAATAAAAGACGGCATACACCTGTATCACTGTTTCAAAAATTGGTACCTCTAAACAATCATTTACCTATTAAAACCATCTCTAAAGTAGAATAGCTATACCATTGTATAAAGAACTAAAATACTGTTTTTTACGGTGACATCTTCTTAAAAATAGATGAACTACATGAACTGTACACAATTACAGGAATTCATAGAAAAACTCTAATTTGACAAATAAATTTATCAAATATTTGTTAATCGTATTTCAAGTTAGATTTGAAAAATACGCAATAAAATTTAGAAATATTTTGGCGGGATACTTGGAAAAATATGTAGAATGAAATCTCCTACTTTTTAGCCTCTGGTTTTAAAATCACTTTTTATGATTTTTTTTTAAATTCAGTGTATAAACAGGACAAATAAAAAATAGGAGATTTCATTCTCCAAACCTTATACTTTAAGCTGGTAGAAGATTTATTTTAATTCATTTAGCGGGATTTAAATGCAATCGGAAATGGTGAACCCTTGCTTCTTATATGAGAAATACAGTGATACTGCGGCCTTAACTACCTGGCTTGTTAGGTCCGACCGAAATACGGTTTTATAACCGAAACCGAAACCCAATTTCGGCTCCTTTTTTAGTTTCGGTCGAAACCGAAACAGAAATAAGAACTTTCTCTTATTGAAATTTGCAATATCTTATTGTAATCCTTGTTTAAGACTAATTAACTCGTATTATAAATTTTAGCTACATTTACTTATTACCTATTTATTTATGTGATCAAAAGAAGCCAGTAATAAATTTATTGACATTGTTTTTTTTTATTACTTTTGAAACTAAAAAAAAAAAAATAAGTGAATTACAAAGTAGCAATCATTTCTGCATCTGTCTCTAGATTTTTGTAACAAAAAATAGTATTATGAAGGGAATTATATATAATGTAATTTTTATTAAAAGAAAAAACAAATTCAGATAATTAAATATGTTTGTTACTTATAATTAAATTAATATTCATAAGTAAACAGTCTAACGTTTTAGGCTAGAAATAATATTTTTTCCACGTTTCACCTAAAAAAATGCTCCTTTGATACGAATAAATTAGGCCAGGAGCACTGAAGACTGTTCACTTGAAACAAAGCAGAGAAGTACGTGCACTGTGCAGGAATGGCACCCGGCACAGTCGCCATTGTGCCGGACACAACCAAGTGTGATACGAAAACTTTCGAAAGTAGTTTCGTAGTTGGCTGCAGTTTCGGCCAGTTTTCCGCCGAAACCGAAACTGTAGTCGAAACACTTATTTTAAGCCGAAGTTGGTCAAAACCGTAACCGAACCTTCGGCCGGACACTACTTGTGAGTCTGGCAGGCCTTCGTGATTTTAATTGTCAGCCAGACCTATATTTTCACTTAGAATACCACTAGTGCCTAAATTATTTTAGAACATTTTTTCGAACTTACGAATATTTTGAAATTTATCCAGAGTCGAAGACGATTGATATTTTGCTTAAAATATGCGTGAGTGAGCAAACATTTACTGATAATAATTTAGGCACCAGTGGTAGGTATTGGGTAAGAAAATTTTATACCAAAATATCCAAATTTCAAAACTTGACAGACATGCATTAAAACGACTAAAATCAAATTTTCAAAGCTGGCCATAGAACAACATATAAAACATATGCATAAAAGTGCTTCTCAACTGTCAAAAAAAATTTCAGTATAATTTCGTTCAGGGTACCCACCAAAAGGAATTTTTCCGGAAATTTTTCATGGAAGCGTTTGAAAATAACGGTATTTGATCTGCTATAAAATAGAGCTGTAAAAATATAATAAAATCTATCACATGACAAATTTTCAAACCCGGAAAAATAAAAGCAAAAATATTATATTTTTTCGATTTTAAAGATATTACCAGACTCATTTGCCAATTTCGTAAATCAGCCAGACTTTTTTATTATTAACAGTTCATGATTGTATCAATTTATATGCTAAATTTTCTGCCACACTCACTTTCCACTATCTGAGATATTCCAAACTGCTATTTTCATAAGCTTTATGTTCTAGTTTAGTAAATGTAAAATATTTATGACTGGGAAAATAAGTGTCAGACTCAAAATGTTTGTTTTTTGTCACTAAGAGAACAGTTTATTTTCATATACACCGATTGGAAAAATGAGTACGAGTAAAATTCACTGCCTCCTGAACTAAATGTAAAATTTCAGAATGAATCAAATGGAACGATTTTTCTTTATTTATTAATTTCTGTTCTGAAATGTGTGGATAGATGTGCGATAAATGTTCGAATTATTTTTGGGGGGGCTAATTTGGTTTTTGGGGGGGCTTAGCCCCCCCAAGCCCCCCCTAACTTCGCCCATGCTTTCTAACCACCTTGCTATTTTACCACTTTCACAGCAACTGTATATAACAAAAGTAGCTATTCTAGTATTCACGATTTCTAAAATTAGTCTATGCTACCGACCAAGTTGCTATGATCAAGGTCACTTGTATTACCTCTTCAAGATGATCAGAATTCTCTAATCAAAATCTGTAACAACTTGTGGTTACAAAAGTGGATTCAGAGTTATTTGGAAGCAACCAAAAATTCTTGCTAAGCTAAGTTGCTGGCACAGCGTAATTTCTGAGACGCGCCTCGCCCCAGCTAATTTATTTCATATACAGTGTGTCTACTTAAGTTGGAACCATATGGAAAACATTTTTATTATTGATTTTAGGAAAAAAAGTTATTCTTGATAAAAAGTCCTGCATGACCCAAAACTTAAAATACAGTCAAATTTTTCAAGCCGTATACGAGGTTTGTCAAAAAATATGAATTTTGCTCAAGAGTAAAGTACGTTTATTTTTTTACAAAATCGAAAATTTTCATTAAGAAATTTGCTAAATTCTTTACAAACATCAACAAAAGGAAAGCGTATCATGTTTATAGTAGCTAACGTAATTTATAATCTATTTGCCTGACACAATCGGTAGTGACAGATCTAATCAAAGAACATTCCCTTGTGAAATTCAAGGAAAGATGGGATGAAACAAGAAACTGCAGAGTTGCCAGGGAGCTCTTAAGTTATCCTGATAATACTGCAGCAAACAAATACTTGACTATGACTAGACAGAATCTGCGCCTAGTCACAGGCATTGCCAAGTACGAAAGCATCTCCATATCATGGGGCTGTCAGAATCCGCACTCTGAAGAGGGTGCGAACAAGAAGATGAGACCATCGAGCATATCCTTTACGATTTGCTCGACGCTTTCATTTATTAGAATATTTGTGTTCGGCGAGTATCTCGGCTAACACCGGCCGTTATAAGAGAAGCACCTCTTGGCGACATTGTCAACTACATTAAATTTGTAGGCTGGCTCACGAGCTAGGAGGTGCCTATCTTCTCAGGAGGATGCACAATGGGCCTAATGAGGCCTAAGCGCCATGGGGGTAACCCACCTTCCACACATTACAGATACAGGTACTAAATGTCTGTGATTCACTTTTTTCACACCTAAAGAACAAGCAGGTGGGAGTGAGACATACTGTAATATTATTTCTCAAATCGTGCTTGAGATGAAGACTTGAATAACAAAAACTAAAAGGAAGTGTAATTACTCACAGGATAATCTTCAACTTCTAAACCAAAAAGTCGTTGACCGCTGCTGAACGTATCCAATTTGGAACAAAGATCGTCGTATCGGTCTTGGAAAATCAACACTCGATCACTAGCCTCTCTCGCAGCTAAATTTGGCACCATCGGTCCCTTTTCTTCGAAATCTTTATCAAACTTTTCCACTTCGTCTTTGAATTTAGCCACACCCTCAGTTAGCTCCTCGAGTAAAATTCCTTGGATGTTGAAGATTTCGTCTTGGACTTGTTTCGACTAAATACAAGTTATAAAAGTCATTTACAAAAAACACTCCAGCAATGGAGAGTTTTTAATTGAAGGTAATAGATATAAAAAAAAATCATATACATTGAATTCAATATTCTTAATTTTTATTTTTTAAAACGTTTATCTCTTTGACTAACCGGTTGAACTCTTTTAAACATGAGGTATTTATAAAGGATGTAGCTAGTTTACCTATTTTTTTTCCAAATTATGAACTAATTTTTATATGAAATCAATAAAAAATTCAAGTTTTAAAATACAAGATAAAGTAGATGACGCCAAATCAATAATTACTTACGTGGTTGATCATGTTTGTGAAATTAAACCTTAAAGATTCCACCTGTTCTGTATCTTCCTTGGATATATCGATTTGATATTGGTTAAATATAGCGTAAGCCTCTTCAATTATTACCAAACTCATATCCATTTCTATGAAATGTTCTCTTACAACATCCAGACATTTCATGCCCACTCTGAAAATCAACATAAAATCGCAAAACTAGAATTTACGGGTAGAGAAAGATAAGCTACCTGCAATCATCTAAATCTCGTATTGTTTTGTTCAGAATCTTTTCTTGGGATTTAATAAAATCAACCATAACGTTTAGTTTGTCTTTGTAGTTAATGATTAATTTTTTTCCCAATATATATTTCCAGGCTTCAGATTCCACCAAGATTCCCAATTTATACTCTTCTGCAAAATTATTTATTATATTATTAATATACAATCACCGATTTTCACATGTACCTGCAATAATATGCGACACACTTTCTCATATACGCCGCCACTGGTCCTGCATTATGTTTACTAAATTGCTAAATTAGTGATGACGTAATTTTGGTTCCACTGACAAATATAGTGACACTATTTTTTTAAAGTCTTTTGTTCGTTTTGTTTACCTATATATATATTGTTTTTAAACTTTTATAAATATATTTCTAGAGTACAGTCAAATCGGGTAACTTTTGACCAGGTTTTTATTATAAATCTGACTTTGTTATTGTTGCACAATAATTATACTGAATGATGCACCTACTGGTATTCCTGTAAAATGATCTATATGAATTACTGAGGCCCTTCCTATGGGGCCTCAGTATTGCATTCGTGCAGACGAAAAAAATTTCTTACCCCCATTTTTTAAAACTTTTTTTGTTTCCGAAAATGCAAAAAAAAATTTCGTCTGGTCGTCTGTGTGTATGTACGCCGGCACAATAACTCTAGAACGAAAGTTCTGATTGACTTGCGGTTTTGATTTTCTTGAATAATTACTTTTAACTTAAAACCCTATTGATTTTCAGAATTTTCGGTTCATTCTAACTACTCTAATATCAATTTTCTTAAAATCCGCTTATGCATTTCTTATGTGACAATTTTAGGAATTCCAATTATTTCTAACGTCAACATTTCTAACATTATTTACATTTCATAAATTGCAAACATTCTCTAACGACTTGTCAAACAACAGCTGTTGATAGTAAAGGTGAAATTTCTAAGGCGGGTTGCGACCTTCATATTTGTAACTATAGTCATTTTGGAGGCTATTTTTATTTGAAATTATTTGCCAAGCCTGCCAATTTCTGAAAAATATATAAGCAGTTTCTTAAAAATTACTTTTGTATGGTGGTGCTAACTTAAGAGTACTACTATTTCGCTCCTAGCCACAAAAACACCTATATCAAATTTATTGGCTCTCTGTCGCAACATCATAAAATAATTAACCGGCCATTTTAACCGGCTGTGCCTGTCAAGTATCAAGATGTCAACTGTAATGTGTGAATGGCTCTTAAATGTCAAATTATTTAAAAATGTAAGCTTTTCATATTTATTGCAAATAATTTGTAGTGTATCTCAATTAAGGCTTTCCATAAATAAAGGTACAGCAAGACAGATAATATAATGTTCTTATATAAAGCACTTTTTTATTATATAAAAGAGAGGTAGGAAATAATGCTGGTTTACATAAATAATTAGTAAACTCCTAGTCATAAATTTCCCCAATTCATAAAATTTACTTTGGGATTTTAATGACAATGTGATCAACCCATTTCAAATTTTGATCAATTATGATACCAAGGTATTTTGTTGTGTTTTTTATTTTAATTATAAAGTTGTCATTTATTTGTATGTTGAAAGAAAGCCTTTGTAAATTGCATTGCTCTCTATGGATCTACTTTAACACAAAAATAGTTTTGTGGCTATAAGTTGCTATAACATATCGTCTCAAAACTATTAATAATTTAAACATAGTAAGTAGTAAAACGAGAGGTAAAATAACAATAAATTAAGGGAAATACTTAAAAAGGGCAGGTTTAAAGAGTATTATCACAAGAAAGAATATCCGTTCTGTTTATTTATCAAGTATTGTTCGAGGTTACTTTTGAATACATTTATTGTTGTTTTTTTTTAATTTCTGTAGGCAGCCTATTAAATTTTTTAAACCTTTAATAAAAATTATATTTTGGGAACTTTTAGTGATGGCTTGCCGTACATATAAATCAGATTAGCTTCTTGTATTATAGTTGTGATATTGCGAATTATATTGATTTTTTCTAATAGATCTGATGCGTATGTCATTTTTATTTTATAAATAAATATCAGTCATGTACTGAACATAATTCTGAACTGAAAGCCAATTTATTTCATTTAACATAGTTGCAATACTCATTCTTCTGTCCTTTATTAATAGAATATAAATAGGTGAAATAAGGAACCCAAAAATTTTACATGAGCAGGCTTAAGAGGTAAAGGGGCCAATTATTATTGGAAAAATTGCTCGAAAAGTTTTTAAACTCTAATCAAAAGACGATATAGAATAGTTTTAAAAATCAAGGCTTGTGAAAATAATCACATGGTTGCACCTAAGTAATGCCAATGCTTCACAAAACAAAAAATTCAATGTCCTAATACTACTATCGGCTTTCGGACTTTCGTTCCAAGTTAAATCATTTCTCGTTTTTGTTACGCTACGAGTTTACCCTTGTGGGCCTCAGTCTCGATAATGTGAGAACCACCATTTTAGCGTCTCTCGAATTTTAAATTAAAAAAAAATTAAATTTATTGTAAATATAAAAAAATATAATTTTGGGTGTGGTCCAAAGTTACATTGGATTTGGGGTAACATTGACCAAAGTATTTTCATCAAGATTAATTACTGATTGCTTACAATTAAAAGGCTACGGGTAAGATTAAACCATATTAGCTTAAATGTAGAGACCCCAGGTGAGTTATTAGTTATAATTAATTTGTATTTAAGTTTTTATTTTTTTTTTACAGACAAGGTTGAAGTTGTAATTAGCTACGGGTCCTATTGTAAATATTAGGATATCTTTCCTTTTTAGACGATAACAGTAAATACAATTCATGGTCTGGTCTAATGTTGGCCCACTGGTCCAAAGTTACCCGATTTGACTGTAAGGTATTAACCAATTACATACCTTTAAACTACTTTTTATGACCTGCAAACATTATTTAATAGAAAAATGTGTATGTCAAATATTGTTTAAAGTTTGGTTAGAATTAACTGGCAGTTGAACCAAAATTACATCACACTTTTATGGCGTATTGTGCATGTCAGTATATGCAAGAATCGGTTAAATGGCCTATACATATATATTAATAGTAATAGATTTTTAAAATTTAACTGCTTCTAAAAAAATTAATAACTACTGTGATAGCTTGTTGTGATTAAGATTATACTCATACATATTTGGTGCATTAGATATTTACCTAGTATAACTTTTAATGGGCCAACAGTGACGAATTCAGGCAGTTGTCTAATTCTTTCAGATGTATTAGCGTACTCTTTAAACTTTTCAGATATTTCAACAATTAATGGATCAGTTTTACAATATTCCTCGACTTGATCTTCTCTGTCTTCGGCCCAAAGAAATTCCCATTTAAGATATTTCTAAAACAAATAATTAGTGGTTTTATTGAATGCGTTTAACACATGAAGATGTAGACGTATTCACGGTGGCTGCAAATGCATGTTAAATTGTATTACGCTTTTCTATTAAATTCTCGTGCAAATTCACTACTTCGTATATTGTCACCAAACATTCGAATTAATTAATTTTATCCCTTAAATTTAACAATAGGCCATTAAATGGTTTGCTGAGCGCACGCGCGTCCGCCATGTTTTAAAGGCGACAATATGAAAGTTTCGGGCACTTTTTACGAATATGGCCGGGCAGCATTGTCACCTCTGTTACCAATAAAATTAAATGAAAAATTAATTGATGGTGCATCATTAGTGTATTCTATGGTAGAAGCTCACAATTGTATTCAATTAAAACGATGGTTGAAGTGTCATGGACGTCCTCAAGACGGAAATAAAGCAGAATTAGTTGAGAGGTTAGAATAACAATTGTAATTAAAATTAAAATTAAAACAGTATTGGTATGTGAATTGATTTTAAAAAATACTGAACGCTCAAAATGTTTGTAAATTTTTTAGGGTCAAGAACGCAATTCGCAACGGTGTCCCAGTAGACCCACGTCTAGATAAAGGGAAGTGGTTGAGGCTGGAACAAGACAAGCAACGTAATCATCAACTAACAAATAATAGTCCTTCGTTGACTTTTCCCAGTTTTTGGCAAAAATTTCCATCAAGGTTTTGGGAAACTCACTCAAAAAATATTGATTCTCCAAGAAGGATTAACTTCATGTAACACTACAGCATACTCCATAACAACGTTTTTTTGCACCTTTTTTTATTGGTAACATTTTTAATTTCTATAAAAATAGTTGTTCAATTTTTTAATTATGAGTATAGATTTATTTAAATTTTACTATTTTTTAAATTTAAGTGATTGTAACTACTTTTTTTTTTAATTGTGTAGAAAATCTGGTGTGTACTGTATGTATATTTGTAAAGTGCCCCAAAAACATGGCGGAATTTGAGACATGCGCAGAAAATATTTTTAACTATTACAAGGGCTATTCTCGTGACATGTTTTGTAGTTTTGACACAACTAAGTTTAAATTGACAGCTACTTATGTACAAACGTTTGTTGTCACGGCACACTTAGATTAAATGAATTTCTAATATTTAAAACGCAACAAAGAATATTTCTAAATGATAAAATTATATTTTTCTTAATTATTGAAAGAAATATTTTATTAATAATGAAACGATTTGTGTTAAATATTGATTATTGTCAAGATTAAACCAAATTTACTTAATACATTTGTTTGTAATTCTATTATATTCTTCACACAGTGGTGTGAAGTAAAGAAAGACCAAGCAGAAGGCATAGTGATTGTACCAAATTGGGAAATTCAACCATCCCATGTCATAAAAAAAAATAAATGCTTTTTACGGTACATGTTAACATTAAACCTAGTTATTTACTGCAGCAAACCTTCATTCAGAACTCCTTATGACCAGAGTTCTGCCCTAGCTCTTTTTATAAATAGTCCCTAATTTTCATCATAGAAATCCTGAATAATAAAAGAAAATGTATATTAGGAAATTTCTAAAAGGGTCTTCCTATTTTGCCAAAATGTATTCAAACTTGAGATCAAACCACAGTTTTAAAATACTTCAGTAGTTTCTTTCACTTGAAAACCTTAAAACAGCTAAGAGCCAAACTTGTTATGCTTGCAGCCCAACGGGTATAGACTTTCTCAAAAATTAAAGTTGAAAATGTCAAGGTGGAAGCTAACAATATACAAAGTTTCATTAACGAAATGCTAAAACTTCGACTCCACAACGAGCCCAGCCTTTATTAGTATTTTCATTCCTCCACGAATTACCTCAATTTATGCTCGGCAAAAGCAATTTTTATTTTATGGGGAAAAAACAGTCTCACAGGTCTTCAGGTCTTCAGGACCTTTATTCTAACCAGTAACGCTCCAGTCTATTCAGTATCTCCCCAAACTATTGGGTGGGTATGCCAAGCACTTACGTATGTACCTCGACCGTCCTCATAATCTGCGTCAATATCGAAACCATTAGAAAAATTGAAGGACAAAAGAGATCTGTAGTGTTTAACAAGTTTTACAATTTAAGACGTAAAACCAACGTTCGCAAAAGAATTAAAAAATTATAAAACTAGATTGTTAAAATTCAATATTATTTTTTGTTACCTTGATTAATGATTAATTAATTAGTATTATTAATAATTATTATTGGTAATTTTGTAGGAAATTTATAGTAATATTTTTTTGCATATTCTATTGTATACATGTACGTAGAAAGCAAAAATCTAGTTTTATTTTGAATAGAACATCCTCTAAACAACTACATGGTTATCTTTATTTCCACTAACAAGGATGTAAAGCATAATTAATGGATCAAACGACTTACCTAATTATGCGAGCATCCATATTTATATTATTTTTAACCCCAAACTCCTAGGCTCCACAATAGGTAATGCGTAGTGTAGACAGGCAGCGATAGAAATTGACGTAAAATTTTAAATCTAAACATGTGGGTCAGCGGCGTATACTACATGGTTATCTTTATTTCCACTAACAAGGATGCTCGCATAATTAGGATCGAACTTCCTTCAGGTAAGTCGTTTGATCCATTAAAAAACCTATAACATTGCACAAACTGTCATTACAGGTTAGTCTATAAGATCTAGTTGGCTGTGTAAACTCGAGAACATTCATGTAAGCGGACTGCCAGAGTAGCTGGCGACATTGAGGTATGAGCGGACTGGTTAAAAACGGATGGCACGACATTATGATCGAAGTGAGGTATCTAATTTTGTTTCATTCTTTCTTTATTTTTTTGTTAAAATTTTTAAAAACACAAATACGACACAAGCACTTTCTATTTAAAATCAAAATTAAATGATTCATTTATTCTATTTACAATTAATTACCGTTAGAAGAGCGTTGATATCAGGCTGTAATAAATTTATTACTCCATTTAAACTCATATTTACTCTCACAATGTCTTTGTTATCAGCAATCATTTTATAATAATTATTCGCCTTAGGTTCGTCTGAAGTTTCTGAAAATGAACAAAAATTATTATTTGCTTATATAGGGGGTGGGAAGGTCTAAACATTGAAAATTTTCTTATGTAATGCATGAACGCCCCCTTATCTAACCTAGTTCTATATCTTATCTGTTCCTATATCGTATCATTTCTTTTATCTAGTTACATATCTTAACTAGTCCTATACTTCAACTTGTTATATACCTTTACTAGCACTATACCTATCTTAACTAGTCCTATATCTACCATATCTTATTTAGTCCTATATCTTAACCTCTCTTACCTACCTGCTTTTTTCCCAGTTTTCATTGCTGATTTTTTAGTTTCTCCCTGTCCCCACAAATTTATATATTGATGAGTTTCCAAAATCGCATTTAAAGATTTAGTAAAAGCGTTTTGCATGTCATCTAGTGAGGGACTGATGCTATTTGTAGGAATTGTTAGAATCATGTGAGTCTCCATTATGGGATTATATTCCTCGAAACTGAAAATATAAGCATGCTATATGAATTTTTTTATTTAATAAATACCTATTATAATTTAAAATGTTAGTATGAATTTATATTTCGATTTTTTTAGTTCTTACTCCTTTATGTGTTTTAATTGATACGGTTGGCATAATAATATTAATTAAGACGACTGATTACTTTAGTACTCTCCTCTTGATCATTTCTAGAGAACACTTGGTGCATTTAACAAGGGCATCGATAAGCTTCCAATTGAAGTAAGCGAACATTTCAATACAGTTTGTATGGATAACTGACAAACTTTCAATATCGTTTCTGTCAATTTCCTTAAAACCTAAAAAATATACAGGGGGTTAGTGTATTCGACCGACAACACTCTACCACAGAGAGGTTTCGTTACTTGATACATTTTGATATAAGAGATACAGGGTTTTAAAAGTTTTAAACCTAAATTCAAAATTTGTCATAAATCGTAAACGTATTTAAATATTTTCTTCAAAATTGATCTACGAAGATTTTGTCAAATACACAAACTATTAAAAATTTGACATGTGTTTACTAGATTAGAATTTGGAAATATTGAGTCGTTACAAATGATCTGAGTACATGCAGACTTTTATTTAAAAGCAAATTTCTGCAACATCGATTATTTTAGCTGCATAAAAGGCTTTTACTAATTTAACTAAAAATTAACAGAGGATTAAAAAAATAATAAAAAAATAAAAAAAAATGTTTGTTACAATTATAATAAAAGATTGTTTTAAATTCATGTTCACTTGGTAAAAGTTTTTTGGACACTACTCGTACTGTCAAAATTGTATAATAGAAAAAATAAGAAAAACGGTGTGTACGTATCAAAAAACAGTATACAGAATATACTAACAATAATTTAACCCTACCACCCAGACTCTCAGGAATTTTTCAAAAAAGAAACAAGAACACATCAATTTTTTTGGCAAATTATCAAATCAAATTACCCAGAAATCCAACCCCCTAGAACACGTCAAGTATGGTCAAGTATTTTATGGCAATTCATTGCGTTACTTTTGATTTTAGCGTCTCTTGGTGACATAAAAAACGTATTATCACCGTACATAAACAAAGAATAGTAAATCCACTCTCCCAGAGTCGCCTTTGAAGTAGGGATGGCAACGGTATACCGGTATATTTGATATACCGGTATATTTTACAAAATATACCGGTATATTGATATCAATATTTTCTTTTGATATATCATTTTAATATACCGGTAAACTTTATTATTACCGGTTTTTTTCTACTGAAAGGAACTAGAATATTTGTTGACAGAAAAACAAAATTTTGCAAAAAGCAAAACATGTAAATGACGAACATCAGAAGCGGACCGCTTTCTTATTCCTGCCATTGTCAAAATTATTATTCCTAAATTGTATGCGGAAGAAAATTTTGCAGTAACCTATAAACCGAGATATGAATATTGTTTTTATTTGTTTTAAATTATTGATTACTTGTAATATTTTAAATTGTTTTCATAAATAATATAGCCAGCACTGGCTTTTAATTTTTGTTATTAAGAATTTAAACATTTAAGTTTGTTTTTCTACGTATACAGCTACTTGTACGTAAAATAACTGCATGTATTGAACTTTGTTATTAAAAAAAAAAACTTATTGAACAAAGTTTTGATCCGAACTTACAATTGATAAAATTATTGGAAAAAGTGAACACCCATTTTAAATTACTACAAGCTGCCACTGCTATCAGGTGCGGTTTGCGCTATACAAAGAGGGTGGCGCGTCGAAAACGAAACAGAGACATTTACTGGCAGCTGAGTTCTGTTTTGGAAAAACGCTCACCCGTCGATTTTGGAAAAAAATCACGTTAACACGTGCAGTCCCCTAGGCGGGGATGGCACCAGCCCTAAAATCTGCGGTCGAATAATTCATCATTTGAAACATCTGTCAATTCCCTTTTTCCTCTGAACTTAGTAATTGACGGTCTGTGACGATGATGACGGTACGTGACGTTACCTATGTATGTGAAAATTACCATCAGAAACCCATTTAGTAATATTTTGACGTGACGCTACCGTTCCTATACGTGACGTTGATGTTCCGTATAGAGCGAATTGACCATTATAAAGTGTGACTTCCTTTGAAAACTAATATTATTAGTAATTTAATGCGTAACGTAAATTTGTTATTTTAATTGATGGCAATTAAAGTTTCTATTTTTTAACGTTAGCACTACAAGATTTTTCAAACAATTAAGTCCATGTGTCTGGCTGAATGGCAATGTGCCTATGCCAAAAAAAAAAAAAAAAAAAAGTCCATGTTCCATATAACTGTTTTATTATGTACGATACATTTATATATAACAGTTTTCGTCCTGCCAGAAGGCGCTAAAATCAAAAATAACGCAATGAATAATGATATTGCTGAATTTTCCTTAAAATGACCTTCTCTTGTGTTACTTGACCATACATACTTGCTATTTAAAAAAATAATGGGTTGCCGCGGCTCCAGGGGGGTTGAATTAATGGGTATTAATTTTATATGACAATTCGTCCCCTCGTCAATAAAAGTTGAAGTTTTTTAATTTTTGAAAAATTACTTTGTTTTCGACTCTCTGGGCAGGTCAAGTTATTGTGGTACATTATAAGTATGAAACAAATTATTTCGAAAATAGCGGCCTTTGGAAAAATCTTGTTTTTTATAAAGCTCTTTCCTTGATATATTTGTAAAAGAGATTACTTTGCCGGTGTTGGCATAAGACATGATTTAATTTAATTTAATGGAGAAGTCATCAGTATGAATATGAATAACCACTTAGATCCTAACTGAACGTAAACGATTTGTGTATGTAATTAGTGGTGCTATTTGCTGGTTTAAAGCATTAAAATAAAACGTATTTTGTTTAATTTCTGTTAACGTACCTGCGTCGTCACCCATTAATAGCGCAGAAGCAGACGCAACGGGTAACAAAGCCTTTTCGGCATCCATCCAGTTAAATTTATTAGCTTGATAATCGGGTTCATCTATGCATGTCACAAACTTGTTAACAATATCAATAACGCATTTTTCAATTGCGCTGGACCTCACTTCTAATTCTCTCGCTGTAGATAAAAATAAATTTTGTTTTTTAAAGATCAAAACTAGCGTCCAAGATGAAAGAGTATGTCGCTACCCCCTTCTCACTGGCAGTGATTGTTTAACAGGTCGTTGGAATGCCTAATTAGGCAATATTTCTCGAAACATCTACCTAGGAAGACAATAAAAACAATGCACACTTACTAAATTTAGACCTAGTTTTAACATTAGCTTCGTAAAACTCATCCGGAGTTAGAGCATAATCCGGTATATAACCCATTTCAATTTGAGCTATGGCTGCGAGGACTTCATCTACTCTAGCTTCTCTCATGTCTTTTACATCCTTGATGAATTGCGCTACATAATCTAAGACCACTTCCGCTTCGCCACAGAATTCCGGAATTCTCATCGAGGTCCAAGTTAGAGTGGCGAACGCTGGTATAAAGGCGTCTTCCATTTTGAGCAAAAGAGACCTTGAAAAAATTGTAGTTACACGTTTAAACAAAATAATAGGAAGCGAAATAATCGAATGACAATAATGATAAATCAAAATAATGTAATTTTGTGTAGAAGAATCTGACTGACAATGAATGTAGAACGAATCTATAATTAATTGCAATCAATAGTGTTGGTTATGTTAAAGGACCTTATGGAAAAATGGCGAACTCCTTGCTTTAGACCTTTTCCTTTTTAATCCTACTCCCAAATATAACAAGCAGATATAAATCTAGAGGGCGTATTGGTCGTTGGTAGTGCCTCTACACTTCTATTTAGGGTATCCCGGAATATGTAGGCAATCTTCCGGATTGAAATAAAAATAACACGAGTCCCTAAAGTTTTTTTCTACGCCTCTTCCTCTCCCTTGAAGATATGGGACCATAACGGGCGCCTCTGATTTTTTTTAAAGTATATTTTAATACGAAGGATACTAGATAAGTTTCCTCAAAATATACTATTTCAAATATAATTAGTCTATTTATTTTGACAGGGAAGGTCTAGCTTTAAAACATTAATTCCGTTTTTTACGTCCTGTATGATAACAGCATAATAACATTTAAGTGAATAAAAAGGTGCTCTTGCTTGATATCGAATTGTTTTTGCATTGGTTATTGTTTATGTTGATAATATTCCTTTTTTTTTGTTATGCAATTTTGACTTGTAGGTACCGATTTATTAAACTACACCAAGTACTAAAAAGAAATGATTTCCAGATGCGTTGTGGTATCTGCGTAAGGAATCTGGGAATTTATCAGACACGAATTTTCGTTGGTGAACAAATAAGATGATTAAATTACCTCATCATTGGTAAAAATAGAAGAGGAATGTTCGATCTAATTTTATCGTTCCTTTCTACAAGTGCTTTAACTGATTCGTAAGAATTGAGGAGCTTCTCCTTACAGAATACCAATACTTGACCGACATCTGGAACATCTGAAAAATAAAATCTGTGTTTATAATTATGTTACATGAACTTAATAACACACACATATCGGACTTTTTAAATTACAGGACTCGCAAAGTCCTCTAGTTCGCGAAGAATCTAGCATCTTGATTTTAGTACAGTCATACAGATAGAATAACCATCATACAGGATGATCGGAAAAAATATTTCTAAAGTAGGCGCAGAGGTACAAGTAATTTCCGTGACAATATGTAAGAAAGAAACGGTCGGCATTTTTAAGTAGAGGGGATATAAATATCTGACCTTCAGTGCCATTATAAATTACTCTGAGAAAATTAGTGTACGCCAATATAGGTAAACTTCATTGAAACTACACTGCGAAAACTATTGTCAATAAAAAAAATTGTTTGCTCCGACATACGTGATTTTTTCCATGGGCTACTTAAGAACCATTTTTTTGTAGATCACTGCATATTATTGCATCTTTCAAATATATCATCACTTTATTTTGGCAAAGGGTGTGGTCAAACATAAATTCAGAGAACTAAAGAAGGATAAATGCTCTCGCTTGATAGGCTTCCACTGTGACCTAGATAGATCTATTGTGGCACATGATTAATGTTTAAGATATAGTTCACCCTAATTCACTGTACAAGATTTCCTAGGAGGAGGTAATTATAGTGCGACTACATGGTTTCTACAATAAAAATTTGTACATAACCTCAAATTTTCGTATAGGTATACGGCATATTAATATGCAACCACATGCGTTCACGTGAATGTAGGTATATACGGGGACATTCGTAAAGTTCAACTAACATATGACATGACAAGTAACACATGAGAAATGACATGAGAGTTTGTACGGCATCATTATCCCGAATTTGCATGCATTTTAATCCTTTTCTTAGCGATTTTTCTCTATTCCAAAGGAAGTTTAATATGATTAAAAGACCGTATCCTTGTTACGTTTCTGATTAAAGTCGTAGGTCTTATACAAAGATATCAAATTGAATAGATACGCCATGTTTACATTAAATTTATTTGAAGGATCTTCCTGACTACGCTCTTCCTATGTTTGTCAGATCTCTTTTATCAAATATCCTGCTTTAATTTTTTTTAATTACTATTTCCTTTACTATAATCTATTAAAAAAAGTAAAAGAATTGAAAGCATAAATATGATTTTCTTATTCATTAAAATCACATAAAATTTTTATTTATCGTCTTTTACACGTGTACCTTATTTGGATATTGAACATTCTACTTCATTTACTTGACGGCGTCAAGTGACAGTTACATTTTATTGTGCTTTATTGTGGTTTTTTGAGATTTTCGAGAATAACTTGAACATTGAACTGTTCAATAAAAACATTTGGGATGGTGAGGAAATTGTTAGTGTACCAAAATATTTGTAATAAGAATGTTCTGCCGTCATTTCATAGGTAAGGTTTTGTTAATAAAGACGGAGGCATATATAGAAAATAAGGCTCGATTTATTTAAAATTATAAAGGCATGTCGATGGTCTTATTCTAATACGCCGTAACTGCATGGATTTATATTTTAGAGAAGGTATTTTTAGTTTAATAGTGCTATATATGATTGTTTTACGACAAATGTCCCTTTGATTAAAAAAAACATTCTATTAATTGTTGATTTTATCTTCAGCGATTCTCCGTAAAATCAAATTTAAATCATCGAAAACTTTTCGAGTTACATCGGTAGCACGATATCAATGGTCTGAGTTCATGTGAGGTTTTTTAATTTAAATTTAGTTTATTCCGTTAACAAATTATTACAACATATCATAATATTAAGTAAGGTGGTCGAAAAAAAGTCCTCTATTTCTCACAAAATTATTTTTTAAACATAAGAAAAATAGATACTGTGTGATAGATTAGCAAAAATATCCTATTTAAATGCGTTGTTTCTTTAAATTAACAGAACTAGCAGTTAATTTTAATTTAAATAAAAGTTACATTAAACGAATAAAGACAAACAACATTTATTATAACGAAGGCTAAAAATTAAATGACTAAAATGGTGTTAAATTAGATTATAAATCTCATAAAAAAACTTCGAAAATGAGACTATCAGACTGAGATTCTATCAGATTTTATCAGACTCCAATGGACTATCAGACTCTGTCAGACTCTGTCAGACTCTGTCAGACTCTGTCAGACTCTGTCAGACTCTGTCAGACTCTGTCAGACTCTTATCAGACTCTGTCAGACTCTTATCAGACTCTTATCAGACTCTTATCAGACTCTTACCAGACTCTTACCAGACTCTTACCAGACTCTTATCAGACTCTTATCAGACTCTTATCAGACTCTTATCAGACTCTTATCAGACTCTTATCAGACTCTTATCAGACTCTTATCAGACTCTTATCAGACTCTTATCAGACTCTTATCAGACTCTTATCAGACTCTTATCAGACTCTTATCAGACTCTTATCAGACTCTTATCAGACTCTTATCAGACTCTTATCAGACTCTTATCAGACTCTTATCAGACTCTTATCAGACTCTTATCAGACTCTTATCAGACTCTTATCAGACTCTTATCAGACTCTTATCAGACTCTTATCAGACTCTTATCAGACTCTTATCAGACTCTTATCAGACTCTTATCAGACTCTTATCAGACTCTATCAGACTCTATCAGACTCTATCAGACTCTATCAGACTCTAGCAGACTGTATCAGACTCTATCAGACTATCAGACTCTATCAGACTCTATCAGACTCTATCAGACTCTATCAGACTCTATCAGACTCTATCAGACTCTATCAGACTCTATCAGACTCTATCAGACTCTATCAGACTCTATCAGACTCTATCAGACTCTATCAGACTCTATCAGACTCTATCAGACTCTATCAGACTCTATCAGACTATCAGACTCTATCAGACTCTATCAGACTCTATCAGACTCTATCAGACTATCAGACTATCAGACTCTATCAGACTCTATCAGACTCTATCAGACTCTATCAAACTATCAAGCTCTATCAGACTATCAAGCTCTATCAGACTCTATCAGGCTCTATCAGACTATCAGACTCTATCAGATTCTATCAGACTCTATCAGACTCTATCAAACTATCAAGCTCTATCAGACTATCAAGCTCTATCAGACTCTATCAGGCTCTATCAGGCTCTATCAGACTATCAGACTATCAGACTATCAGACTATCAGACTATCAGACTATCAGACTATCAGACTATCAGACTATCAGACTCTATCAGACTCTATCAGACTATCAGACTATCAGACTCTATCAGACTATCAGACTCTATCAGACTATCAGACTCTATAAGACTCTATCAGACTATCATACTCTATCAGAAAGAACTCTGTGAGAAATAAAGGACTTTTCTTTCACCGTACTTTACTAACATATATGGCTCCTTTCACCTTTAATATCTTAATATTTTACTGAATTTATGGTTCATTTTTATTTATATTGACATTTCTTGTACGTTGTTTTAGGAGGAATGAGCCGCTTCAAATGGTGAGTCTTCTGATTTAAATTTAGCTGAGAATAATTATTATTAATCGTTAGGTATACTTGTAATTGGTGTCAAAAGCATGCTGGCAAATCGGAACATGACTTCATCACTGCAGGGAGAGACTGTCACTTTTAGGCCTGCCAGAGGATGTCCACAAGGCGGCGTATTTTCACCCCTTCTATGGACTATTCTGGTGGACCTGCTAGATGATCTCTCCCGGCAGGGGGTGAATTTTCAATGCTATGCGGACAATCTGGTTATCATATTTAGAGGAAAGTTCGAAGAGGTGATATCCAACATCCTTCAACAAGCCATTAATTCGATCAACAGATGGTGCAAAAGGGAGCAGATGTCTGTTAACCTCCGTAAACTGTTATTGTTCCCTTCACCAAGAGAATAAAGCTCGACAAGCTTCGACAACCTACCTTGGCCGAGGAAACAATTCCTTTTGCGGAGGAGGTGAAGTATCTGGAAATCACCCTAGATAAGAAACTCACCTGAAACCCCCAATTGGATAAAACCATTAACAAAGCCAGATTATCCCACTCGACCCTTAGAAGGATATGCGGCAAAGCATGGAAGATCAGTCTTCAGCTAATCTACTGGATTTACCAAACAGTGGTAAAACCCATGGTTACGTACGTCTGGTGGGACAAGGGACTTCAACGGATGGCCAGACCAAAGCTGGCTGGAATACAGCATGCTCGCCATAACTGGAGCAATGTCAACCACACCTACAGATGCTTTGGAGACCATGCTGGACCTAACCCCTCTCCACATATTGCTGGAAAGGGAGGCCAGGATGGTCTCCTACAGACTTCTGAAGGTGGGTAGTTAATGCTACGAAGAACTGCGATGGGTCAAGCCGGGACTGATGAGTGAAATTAATAACCACCTCATTCTCGGCATGGTCTCGGACTCGCCAGTTCCCCGACAGCACATAAAAAAATCCATACAGCGTCCTCATTCCAGAGAGAGGCGCATGGAGCAGAGGAGAAAAAACCCTTTCCCAGGTAGACTGTGCGTTGTACACGGACGGCTCGAAAATTGAAAAAGGAGTAGGAGCGGGAGTTTTCGGCCAGAGGTCTAGAGTTGACATATCAATAAACCTAGGCTCTCTGGCCACGATCTTCCAAGCAAAAATAATTGCTATAGAATTGGGAGCGAGAGAGTTGATTAATTTTCTCCCCGCAAACAAGACATAAAGATCTTTTCAGATAGCCAGGCAGCCATTAATGCCCTGAGCTCCAATAGATTTAACTTAAAGCTAGTTTAGAACTGTATAAATACCCTTGAATGTCTCGGTGCCCGAAACAAAGTTACTTTGATCTGGGTTCCGGGACACAGTGGTGTGGAGGGCACCGTAAAAGTCGACGCGCTTGCTAAAAAAGGAACCGGATCTGTGTTCATAGGACCAGAGCCATTCCTGGGCATTGTAAAGAGCACTGCCAAAGGAATTATCTCAAAATGGACGGAGAATGCAACACTCACGAACTGGAGAGATACCCCAGGGCTAACTCATTCGAAGGCGTTCCGCTAGAACGTAGTTTAAATGTAAGTGAAAGTGTGGGTTATAGTTCAACTAAAAATGAACTTTTTGTCAGTGTCAGTGAATTGTAATAGTTTCTCTGAAATTGAAAATAATGAAACATTGGAAATAGTTTCAACACCAGATATCCAATCATGTTCTTATACATTTGATAACAGCTCCTTGAATGGTGTAATCACAAACATCTGCTCAAATATGCAATAATTTATCCCCAGAACATATCAAAGTTAATGTTTTATGACAAATATTTATGTACTAAAATAAAATGTACAGGAAAACATATTTTTGCAACAACGATTTATTGCTATTTGTTCTCTTGTAAATTGTGTATTACTCCTGTGTCCCGAGTTTTCCGTTTTGAAATAATAATCTAAATATTTCATTTTGGAAGTTTATGGTCTCAGATATAGAATGAACGAATGTATAAGAATAAAAAAAATAAAATAGAAACATACAAATGCATATGAATGTTTTCCTCAAATTTTCAATAATGATTGTGGTCGAATTTCGACCACTGGACGAACACTAGTTAGTATATACAGTGTGGAAACCACTTATGGAATAAAATTCTTTATGTCATTATTTTAGAAAATTGTAAAAAATGCCGAGACACGTCAACTTTTGAATTGAGCTGTGCGTTATGTAAACATAAATTTAAATGTACAGGGTGATTCACGCAAGTATGCCATAGTCGGTGTTGTTTTTTTTTAATGAAACACCCTATATATTTGCATATTTTTGAAATCCTCTTAATGAACCGATTCCAACAAACTGAATAATGTATGTATGCAAATATACAGGGTGTTTCATTAAAAAAAAACAACACCGACTATGGCATACTTGCGTGATTCACCCTGTACATTTAAATTTATGTTTACATAACGCACAACTCAATTCAAAAGTTGACATGTCTCGGGATTTTTTATAATTTTCTAAAATAATGACATAAAGAATTGTATTCCATAAGTGGTTTCCACACTGTATAAATATTTAAGGAGAAACATTTTTCTTACCTAATTGTTGAATTAACCAATATTGTTCTAGGTGAAAATTCTGACGACACCTCCCGCTAATTTAGGCCAGCAGAACGGTGGTCATCAGTAAGGGCCAAAGAACTGGCCTACTACAGCCAACTAATTGACCCTAAGTGAACTATCTTTTTTTACTTTCAATTTTCTTTTATCAAAATATGAGAAATACCATGAAAAATACCGGGTTTATTAAAATCTTTTTACCATTTGTAAATCAAATTTATAAATGAAACCATACAAGTTCCGTAATGTCATTGTAAAAATATTTCACCTTCTTTAGTTTTACTTATAAATGAATAATATTGTAGTTTATACCTACCTAAGTTAAGTTTGTACATGTATTCGGATTCTCGTATAACTTCCATAATGTATTGGTCAAAATTGACGTTATATCGCTTTGTTTTGGGTTGCTTGGTCAATATGGGTACCAAAAGACAGTTACGTACTTGCCCGGCAAACTTATACCAAGCCTCATGGTACGTATTTTCGTAATGGGCAAAACAAAACATCATCGCATTGAAGAGCGCAATACATTTTTGAACTTTGCGATGTTTCATGACCTAAATAAAAACAAAAGTCATGATCATAGAACTAGATGCATTGCCTTTTTTATTTGTCATGTAAAATATAGCTTACCCTTTCTTTAGTTCTGAATACATTCATAGGTTCTTCCATTCGTTTAAAGAAATGTCTAATCCATACTATCCTACCAGAAATTGGTGGCATGTTTTTGGGTAAATTAGGTGTCTGTCTTTCTTCGTTGTATTGGTCTCTAAGGAAATCTAGTTCGCTATTATACAGTACCATCGCTTCTAGATATCTCTCTTCCAAATGAAGACATTCCAAGTTCAATTTTTCAAACCTAGTAAGAAATTGTTAAGGAATATAAATGACGCAGGCAACAGGATATTTTCTTTACCTCTTTAACAACCTAATAACATTATCAATATCGTTGATTTTGGAAAGCGATTTCGCCACAAATTCTTCCAATTCCCATTCTGTATCGACAACATTTTGTCTAAATTCATCGTAGTCTTTGTCGAATTCTTCAAGTCTATAATTCAGGGCGTCATAAGTTTGTTGGGATATAACGTTGAAGTAATCCACGAATCTGTTAGCGAACTCATCAATTCCCTCTATGGTGCTGCTTTGTAGAATCGAGTACTTGATGGAAGTCTTCAAGACAAAAACAATTTTCTGCAAGCGATTCTTGAAATTTTCGAATTTTCCAAATGTGTACATTTCGGAACATTCTAATAGTTTTTCGCCGTTTTCTGCCATCATCTGCTTGGTGTGTTTATAACACTGATAATATTTTAAGTACAGGTCTAGACAGACCTAAAAACGAAATACCAAATCATATTAGTATCTAATAATAATTTATGCTTAGCTGAATCAGTCATTAGATTATATATTGAAGGATATTAGTCCTTGTACACTACAACTTTTTTAGATCTATTGTGGGATTCCGTTAGTTTTGACAGTGGCTCTTGCATGTACTCACATGTTTTTAGCTTTTCTTCGTCTAGTGTTAGAAACCTCAATCTAGCCAGGTCTTCACACTGGCACAAAACGTATATTGATGTATTCTCTTCTTCTTCACAGAACCTGAACAGTGTTGTTTCTTCTGGTTGGTGATACTCATGTGTCTTCTTAGGCTACAATGTTCGGTTAGAAAACCGACTGTTATTTTGATCCAATAGATCTTTGGTAAATTTGGCCGACGATTCTTTAATGAACTCTTTAGACTTTTCAATCGTGGATAGTTGTTTTACCATTCCTGAGACTTCTTTGCATCCATTGTTTGATGGGTGCCTTGTACACAACCTTAGCAAGTCCACAAAAAGGTTCTGGACCTGTCGTAGCCTTATCTGAGCCTTCTCGGGCTAATTAGTCGGCCTTTTTATTGCCCTGGTGTCCCTCGTGGTCTGATACCCACTTTATTTTGAATACTTAGTTCTGTTAGGTCCTCCAGGCTGTCTTTTACTGTTCGTGGCTATCATAATATATAGTAATAGTTTTGCCCAATACTTGCTACTTTATTATTTCTCTTGCCCGAGGGCTTTAAGTTCAGTCTAGAACACTGCTGCATATTCTCCTAGACTCAGTAAAATTGTTGATTTTGAGTTATGTCCAAAGATTCCAGCTCCACCTATAACAGTAGGCATACCTAATAGCTTATCCTTCTTTGCTTGCTTGCATTAACGCCATTAAGTTGGCTTATTGGACTTTGTCCATGCATTAGCCTGTGAATGACGAACCTGGGAACTAGTTTGGGCACCAGGCAGTTGCTGGGTCATCGGAGGCCCTCCAAGTACTGACTGGGGTGTCCCCAGTAGACCTCCTGGTTGAGGAACGGAATCATAGTTTGTTTTCAGAAATAACGAGGATTGACATCAGCGAAGAGTATTAGTCAAAGTTGCACCAGACACCACCTGCTGTATAGACAATTTCTTTTTGCGTTTTAATTATCACGTTCAATTTAAATGATTAAAAAATTATATTATCAAAATTACTTTCAAATATTAACCTTAGTTATTCAGATCAATCACCGTTTAAGATTTATAATTATGCGGATCGCAAAAGTGTCTAGCGTTAGGGAATACCATAATCGTATACGTGTCGTTCTGCTGAACTAAATTTGTTCAGAAGAACGCTTGGCGCTTTCGTTGCTACTCGCGATTCAAATTAGTTTTCGCGCGTCTGTTATTTGTCACCTATAAGTAGGATATTTGTTTATTTACATTGTGTTGGTTTTGGACGGGCTTTTGTATTTATGGTTTTTTAAACTGTTTTTAGATATTATAATTAGTTTAAATTTAGTTTTTGTGCTTTTGTCACAAATTTAATATTTATCATGTGTTTAAGACAAATTTGTTGCAAATCTTCACTACTTATCTGGATGCTACACAAACATCTAGAAATATTTGTAAACTAAACTCAAGACATCTTTTACTATATGGTTTAGGTAAATGCTATTTCAGGTACCTAATGTTTATTATTGACAAACTTATATAAAAATCTAAGTATTCTTGTAAACAATAATAAAGGACTTACATTTGAAAAATAATGACAATTTACGTTTTAATTTTGAAATTCCACTTTTATCACAACATTAATTGGAATTTGCTGGAAAATTTTTCACAAATTTTAAATTTAATGTAAACACTTTCATATACTATATGAAATAAACAAATGCAATACTTACAAATAAGAAAAAAATTCGAATTGATAATTGATACAAATTTATCTATAAACATCGAACACCACGACAATGTTGCCAACTGATGAACTGATTTTAAATAGAAATTAATGAGTGAACTGGAATTTAAAGTAAAAATATAATTAAATTTGGCTTATAAAAATCCTTAAACAAATATTACTATAGAGTATGATTACATATTGGTAGACACAAATTTTGCTGCTTAAAAAAAAGGTCTTTTCACTGCTAGGTGTAAAAATTCGCAGACGTAGCGGATTTCAGTTACTGTTGGCAACATTGGAAAAAGTCTTACTTATAGACACTTTTTACTAATATCCTTCAGAGGGCGTATCGCTTAGTTTGAATCGCGGATACATTTTCAACTGTTTTCTATGAAGATGTGCAGTGTCATGAGGTTTCAACCATAGATATACCTTAACTAAAAAAAAAAGAAAATAAAAAATATAATTACTTTTATTTTTTGCAACACAACGACTTTCAGTTGATTCCAAACGGTTCTGGTGTCGTTACAATTCAAATATTCTCTGCATATTTTGACCATTTGGTTCGTTATTTTGACCAAAAAGGCGGTTATGTTTCCGATGTTGTAAGCCTTTGACGTGGTAAATACCATTCGAACGGTGTCCAAAAGCGGCGCTATATGCGGTGCCAACATCGTGGGGTCCAAACGGTAAAACGGTTCCCAATATTTCTCCAATACGTACAGGTATTTCACGAGATCTGAACTTTCGTTTCTCGTGAGATAAACTTGTTCGGTGTGTTTTTTCCAATGCTAAATTTAAAAATTATACAATTCTATGAGTTTCATAAAACTATCCACTTTTTAATTTTGAAGCTATTGAGAAAAGTTATTGGATTATTAATCTTCATCCCATGAAGAAAAGTAACTTTACTCCCATGAAATACACCACGACTATTCAAACCAATACCTCCCATTGAATGTCCTAGTTGTAAACCTTGTTAGCCAAAATCTGACGAAAAATTCTTATCCAGTGTCGAATTGGGACCTCCAGAGCCTACCGGTCAGGAGATATAGCACAAGTAGAAATTGGAAGGGCTTTTGGTAGGTAGAGAGGGGGTAAACGTCAAGCCACGTCTGATGGCTTCGAGAATTTCGGAGTAATGTTAACAGCTATTCACAATTTATTAAACTATTTACTCGAAATTGTTATTTACATCTATAAAATAATTTTGTACGTCAATCTATCGCGTTCACTTCGGTTAGATCCGCCGAAAACCTGTCAATTTATGTGTATAAAGTGGGAGTACTGGCAGAATCCTTTCCAACTTCTACTTGTGCTATAGAAGAGCCCTCCTTTTTATGGTCTGATTATTTTCATTGAAGAGCAAATGAATAAAAGTCCTCTCACGTATTACGGAGTTTCTTGCATTCATGTAATTCACGAGGGCCCACTGCCTGAACGGGGGCCTACCGGTCTTTTGACCTGTAGACCGACGGCCCAATCCCACACTATTCGTATCTATCTAAAATATTGTAAACGGTTAAATATTTTTGTGATCATTAAAAAATAATGAGATAAGGCATTTAAGGGTCGATATATATTTTTCCTTATATATGTTTAAATGTTTATATGAATACAATAATATTCCATATTTATACGTCTTAAGATGGCTGTGGTAAACTGTCACAAAAAATTATCATTTTAAATGGTAATTATTCAAAGAATTAATTCAAAATTAATTTCAATTCAGATTTAGGTTGTTATTGAAACAGTAGTAATTTTGGCTTAATAAAATTATCTTAATTTTTAATTTTACGATCATTCTTTTTTTTCAAATTATATGCAATTCTTACCTTTAATATTTCTCTATTATTCATGAACTTGATAAATTCGAGAAAAGTTTTGACATCAGGCGTTTCCAAAAATTCCACTAGCGAAGTGAACCTGCACAATTGCCTTCTCCAGTATTCAAGTTCCGCCACTGGTCCCACAAATTCGCCTTCTTTGCGCAGCTGTCTAAATTGTACTATGCTCTGAAATCATAAGAACTAAGTACATGGTCATCGTACACATGGTGAACTAAAAGAAATCAATTAGTTCATATATAAAAAATTAACAAGAATATATTCTGTTACAAATTGTTTATAGACTACAAAACCATAAATTATTTAAATTATATTACTAGTATTGATAGAAACAAATTACAAATACAGCCGGTTTGTTTATTAAAATCTACTAGGCTGGTAAATTTTGACACAACCTGAGAATTTGACATGTGTTAATGACATGAACTTCAAATTGCTCTCAGTCAACACATTTGTCAAAGTGAATTCGTAAATTTTATTAAACATTATTGCAACCCATGATTGCAACCCGTTGTTAGTGTGATATTTTTTTGTCGCACGAATTGCATCTAAGAAAAATTGAAATTTATTAATCATTTAGAACATATGGTTGCAAGTTAGATACATGATTTATTTAGAAAACGTACCTTCTCTATAGTCCTGTACCAATTCCTTACTGTTGTCTCCACTTGAGCAACTAGTGGTTTATTAAAGAAGGCCTTCTCCATTTGATCCTTACCGTTAATTGCAGCTAATAATTCTGGGTCGTACTCGAAACTGATTATTCCACTTAAATCGCTCTTGATTCCTAATTTAATATATTGACATTCATATTCACAAAGCATTTTTAAATATCAACCTACGTGTAAATTCTTAAAAACAGAAATGTCGACGTCAATTAAGATAAAAAGTAGAGTTTGATACGGGCGTTAATTTTCAATCACACTTTTTATCGTTGCTGTGATTAGTAAAATTCAAATCAATAAAAAATATAACGTTTGTTAATATTTTCCTAGAAAACTTTTATGAAATCAATAACAAACATATAAACAAGCTTGTGTGGAAGTGTGCAACCATGGAAAAGTGAAAATACCTAATCCCAAATGACCAAGGTAACAGAACCACACCAAACTATGTTGCCTTTATTGATGGCGAACGTCTTCTAAGATATGTTGGTAAGTACTAAGTGGCGATGAATCCAAACACAGTATTCGATGCTACACGTCTCATTAGTAAAATGATGATCTCAAAATACAACAAGACATTCAACACTGGCCTTTCAAAGTAGTAAATGACTGGGAAAAACCAAAGATTCAAATGAAATTCAAAGTAGAAAGAAGTATTTGTTCCTGAAGAAATAATTTTAATGGTACTTGTAAAGATGAAAGAAACATCAGAAGCATAACTTGGAATTACAGTATGAGATGATACCCATCTTGGCGATAAAGATTTCGACTTATTTTTCTGAAGAATCTGAGAGTAAATTCAAGAAAGATTTACACAGTAACCCAAGAGTTTTGCGTAAATTAAGAACCGTTGTCGAACGAGCAGTACGTTCACTCTAGCACTGAAGGTACTATTGAAATGTATGCTCTCTTTAAAGGAATCGAGCCAGATTTGAAGAACTATGTTTGATCTATTTCGAGAAACACTAGAACCTGTTAAAAAAGCCCTTAAAGAGGCCAAGATGGATAATGGTCAAATTTATTATGTTGTATTGGTAGGTGGATCTTCTCGTATATCGAAATACAATCACTCTTGCAGAACTTCTTCAGTGGTAAATCCTTGAATCTTTCGACCAATCCAGGTGAAGCTGTTGCTTACGGAGCAACTGTCCAAGATGCTGTACATAGTGGTGAAACAGATTAAAATAATTAAATAACAGATCATGAAACATATCACCCAACTCTATTAGACATTTCTATCCTTAAGTATTTACGTATGGGTAAATCTAAGAAATTTTGTGAATTGTAATCACAAAATACTTTATTAAAGCTATTTATGTATCAAGATCATTGTAAAAGAAGAACGACAGCATTTTAAGAAAATAGGTGCCTAGGTTTATTTTAAAACTGGGACCTGAAAATTAACAGTACGCCGTCTACTGTGAACACAAGTTACTATGTACTCATACACAAATAAATTTGACCTTGATTTTGTTTTTCATATGATTAAATGGTGTTTTTTTATTTAACAAGTGTTTCCTTTGAAATAGTTTACTTAATAATAAAGTTGATAATAGCTATTTGTTTATTGAGAGCGAAAAGTGATACTTTGCCGCTTGAGACAAAGTTGACGCGCGACGCGTGCGGAAATCTGTCGAAAGCGGCAAAAAACTTTTCGCTCAAAATGCACACAAGATTTTTTCTACTATCACATTATTTTAAAAACTGAAAATTTGTCGTAAGTAGTGTATAATGTGTAGCGTATATCTACGTTATTCATGAAAAACGTAGTTGATATTCAAAGTCAATGTGTTAACTAGGATAATAAAACAAAAAACATCAAACTACGTACAAATAATTTGAAAATCATTTATTAAAAGGAAATATTATATTATGTCTAATTTAAATTAAGCGAGCAACAAAGCTGTCAAGTTTTCCGCTTGGCGAGCGACAAAGCAGCACTTAATGTCAGTTCGCGGAAAACGTCAACTTTGCGATTGTATTTCGAAGCGCAAAAAGCCTATTTTGCATGTGATGGTAGAAAAATTAAATTTTTATCATCTCTACCAAAATAAGCGTTTATTTATTTTACAATGCCTGATGATGGTAATTGACCCAAAACTAGTCGCACTACACACTTGTTTAATAAATAAAAAAAATTCTGTTATAAAGAGTGAGTTTTTCCTTTCCATTAAAACCACTTGTTTCAATTCCCAGTATTAAATAAACTTTATATTTCTTCAATAAATGCTTGATATAATTCATAATTTAAATTTATTTTATAGTATTATAATTTGTCTTATTTTCCCAACTATTAAGAAATGAAATTGGGTGCCAATATTACTTTATAAACCAATAAATTTCATTATTATCAAGAAATATTACTTTTAAAATGCCCCGAAGAGCCAGTATTTTTGCAATTTTTCTGGTCGACTTGACCAAGAAGCTGTTTCACGGTCGACCATTGCATGCGCGAAATTGACATTTCAGTCGGCGAGTTCAAATAAATATTTTTTGTCTTAGAGTAGTTCAAAGTTTAAATGTCAAGTACAGACGGCGCTGCGATCTTTATTTTAGATCCCAAAAGCTTACTGTCAAGATACGTGATGAACGAATCAAAATCTCCATCGAAATTGAGTTTTTGCAAACGACCAGTTTCCGTTTTGTTCAAATCTCCCCAACTAGTGAATACTTCCAAGGAAGGTTTTATTAGCAAATTAAGTAGATCAAAAGCGAGTGCTGCAAAATTAATTTCACCCTCCAGTGTATCGAATGAGACGGTACACATTTCCTGAAAAAAGAAGACTACAGTTAAGATAAAGGTGTTTTTTGTTTTGTTTTGTGTGTATGGGAATGCAAATAAAATATTTAAATTACTTACATCAGTTATATTTTTGACTTCTAGATTAACATTGTTCAGTTTGTATACTCCAAAGGCCTTATTTTTAAGTGGAAATGGTACTCCATTCGTTACAAACACTCGCATCATGTCCTCCTTTAAAGCTGGATTATATCTGCCAGTATCTTTAATTAAAAAAAAAAAGAAAAACGTAAATTCTACACCGAGACATTTTTTATAAAATCTACCTAGCTATGAAAATAAGAAAATGAAATAATATTTTATCCAACTGTTCATAGAGTCATGTATTACTATAGTAATTTTCGCAAGTTAACAAATACTTTACCTGCTGCTTTATCAACATAACCACGCCTGGCTAAGATAATGGAAAAACTGTGATTTCAATGAACTCATTATTATATTATGGACCGATCTTTTCACGTTTAAATAAAGTTACATGTAGGTTTACTTGACAGATTAATAAACAATAGCCCTATAATGGTTACTTTTAACTTTACTCAGAGGTATTAAATAAATGTTGAAAATTAAATTCCCGTTCTATTTTTCACTTGAGCTAAAATATATTGTGATTTCCAAGATTGTAATTATAGCAGGTTAAAAATACCCCTAGCATACCTAGCGGATTTTTTACTTGTACCTTGATCAATTTAGCCATTTTTTTTGATGACTGAAAACATCTTATAGTTACACCGTATTCTATAAAGAGTTCTTTGGTCGGTTTCAGTCCTGAATGGTAGATGGACATATTTTGCGAAAAGCTCAAAGCATTGTTAAAGAAAGAATGAAACTCAAAATCAATACCACACAATTTATTGCTAAAAATACTAAGCGACTAGTTTCGGCGTTATTGGCCCATCTTCAGGCAAACAATGGTGTTGAAGCAATATTACAAGATTAGAAAGAAATTGTATATTCTAAAAGTGAGGCATGGGGTGCAGTGTCTTTTTGGAAGGTGACCCCAGTAAGGAGTCGTTCGGATACCAAATGAATAAGTAGTATGAGAAGAGATATTGCCATCTATTATAGATAAAATACTTTGATGGGTTAGAGTAGAAAACCCATATTATCGATATGAGCGAGTGTGGTACACGTTTTCTACAAATCCAAGAACAAATATGGAACGAGTAATTAATGGTGAGCACCAAAAGATGGTCACGGATGGACTCGTTATCTTGATTAAAAGAAGGTCAAATCAAGGGCGTAGATAAGGGGGGGTAATGGGGGTAATTGGTCCCCCCTAAGCCATAGTCAATATCAATATTTTTTTAAACGTTATATTAAACAAAAATAGAGAGATAAAATAAATACAATAAAAGAAAGAGTTTCTCAAACATTGCCATCTAAAATAATAATATTCCTGCAAATTGAAAATTAAAATTTATATCCATGGTCCCATTAGTGCGTAATTGTTCAATATTTTAATGTAAGCAAACAAGTTTTAATAAAAGTTATATTGATTTGAAAAATACATATTTTAAAAATATTTTTGCGTTTTTGCCTGACAAATAAAAATGTATTGTTATGTGAGTCATTTCATTATTCAGTCATGCTCTAATCCTCCAAGTCCCTCTGTCTTATTTGGCCTTTGAGGCTCAACTTGTCCGATTATCATACATAATTAAACCCCTTAAGACCAAACATATGTGACGACTATGGCGGAGGAGCTTTCGATGACTATTCGAGAAAGAACGGGATAATGTTTCTAGTGTATTGATGAGAATAGGTGAACTTTCTAGCACCTTCGCCAAACTTTTAAATTTGTATATAAATATTGGTGGAGGACCAAGCGGAGTTAGTTATTATATGGACAGTGAAGATAAATAGTGAACAGTTTAAAGACATTCGAAATATATGTAAATTAGAATAATAGTGTTATAAAATAAATAAATGTTTAAATAAATTATTAATAAATAAATTGTTGTTTCAAACAAACTTCACACTATGTTTTTTAAATAGAACACCCTACATTTTATTTTATTTTTAGAATGGCTTGGGAATACTGTATTTAAGCTTGGAATATTTTTAAAAAATATTACAGTGTTGCCAAACAATTATTCTTTTTTAAATTAGAGAATGATGCAGACCCCAAATTAAATTATCATAATTTAGATAGGTTAACATTAATTTCAAAATTGTTTAATATACAGACTGATAAAATACTAAGCTAACGAATAGAGGTGATACAACTGATTTATTCTATACAGAGTGTTTTGAAACATGTCTTAAATATGGCTAATTTTAAGTTCAATTTAGTCAATTTTTTCAAACGCAACACACTGTATATTATCTTGGCATAAAATTCCCAATAAATTTGTCTATATAACAATACCAATGTGCTAGTCAATAACACATATACAGGGTGTCCCATCAGATCATAATTGATCGATAGCTGTTTTATTATTAGAAAAAAAAAAGAAATGTTTAATATAAAAGTTGTAAAACCAGATTTAACAAATATTCTTAAATATACAGGGTGGTTCATGAACGAGGTGCTGACCAAATCTATACTTATTTAAAGCAAAACACCCTGCAAGTAGTAATACATATTTGATTGCTTTTACATCGTCAAACAATTTTAATTAATTTCACTCATTTGCTATGCTGTATATAGGGTGTATCAAAACGTGAGGTTACGATTTTATCCATTTTTTAAATGAAATACCCTGTATTAATTGGTGGTATGACATAAAGGGTATTCCATTTAAAAAAATGAGAAAATCCTTACCCATCATTTGAAACACCCTACATACAAGATAGCAAATAAATGAAGTCTATTAAAGTTGTTTGACGATGTGAAAATAAATATAAAAATGTATCAGTTTGGTCAGTCCCTCGTTTATGGATCACCCTGTATATTTAATAATATTTATTAAATTTGGTCATACAACTTTTATATTAATTTGTTTTCCAATAATAAAACAGTTATCGATCAACTACGCACTATTGGGACATGTTGGTATAGTTATTGGATAGGTAAATTTATAAGGAATTTTATGCGAAAATAATATAGTGTGTTGTATTTGACAAAATTGAGTAAATTGAACTTAAAATTGTTGTATTTGACAATGAACTTAAAATTAGCCATATTTAAGACATGTTTCAAAACACTGTATAAAATAAATCAGTTCTATCACCTCGAAAATGGAATGGTCTACAAAAATCAACCTGAAGTCCCTTTTTGGGACAAATGGCGTGAGAAATATTTATTATTCTTAAGTTTTATGAAATGTACGATGTTCAAAAGGTTTTGAATAAAATTGTTTCTTTAGCCTTTCATTCTACGCCAATGGGTTATGGTAATTTATCTAAATAGTGTGTTAACTAATAATAACGATTAACTATCATATTCATATTTTTAAGTCAAAGTCTTTACTGTATTTAAGGGAAGATATTTAGAAAATATGTATTTATGAAATTTACTTTGTCACCCTGTAGAATGAAAACTAGGACGTTTATAGGAAAATTATATTTAGATTTTCTTTATAATTGATTAAGATCTACAAATCCCCAATATTACGGACTTCATTCTAAAACACCCTGCATAAATATATAAAAAATTAAAAACTTCATTATAAAACTAAGATAACACGCTGCGCATTCACCAATAATCTGAGAAGTGTTACCCCCCAAGAAATCACCTAGCTACGCGCTTGGGTCAGATTGACCCTGGTGGTTAGATTTTGAAAAATACCAAGATGGTAGAAGGTGGTTTGACAACCTCACGAAATAAGTCTCATAAGTAAACCTCAAATTACCTAAAACATATTTCAATAAATTCATATTTTTAGCAATATAAATTGTGTGGTAATGCCTTTGAATTTCATTCTTTCTTCAAGAATACAGACCAAATTTCATTACCAAAGGATTGTTGTGGGTCATCGTAAATCATCGTTACCCATCTAGGGGATAGTTGAAATGTGCAATTCAATCAGCCATTTTACTAATTTTAAATGGCCCAAATTCATAAATATTAAAGTTCAAATAGCATGTCTATTGATTTAAATACAGAAACTCACCTACGCCGAACGGAGGGCCCAGTTGATAATAAAACAATACACATTTTTTGCCGGTATCTTTTTTGGTAAACGCTGATAAAAGATCCATGTGTAATTGGTCGTCAATAACAAACTCTAAAAATTCGTTGGTGTCCATATTCAAATACTGCGAGACAATATCGCATATATATCTTTGGACCATGTCCATTTCTTGATATCGTACATTTCTATTTTCTTTGGCTTTTAACTAGAAATAATTATAAAATAAATTTTACGTATATATGGACACACATAATTTGAAGGTAACATAAACCGAACAACAGGAAAAAGAGGGCTCAGCAATCTAGCCCATTTTTTCTAAGAGTAGTTCCTGGCACTCTATGAAAATTGACAAGAGTAAAGTACTCCTTGAAGGCAATTGGACACACCTGGCAAAAAGATATAAGGGTGGGTATTACGTATAAGAAGTCCAAGCAATCTAGCGCATTTTTTCGGGTCAAATTTCGTTTAGCCAAAATCAGTTACGTAAAAATTGTTGCCATGGCAACCATTGCCATGGTAACCAGTAAACAAAAACCCAAATCTCGTGGTGAGGTAATGCATAGTTGCCAAGTTATGGATCATTTATTGCTCACTTTAGTTTAGACGAAATCAGTTATGGTGAAACTGTTGCCATGGTAACGACTAAACAAAAAACCAAAACCCGTAATAAGGAAATGCATAGATGGTAAGTTAAAGATCATTTAATTTTTACTTGAGTTTAGCTAAAATTGGTAACGGAGAACTCGTTCTCAAAAGAACACTTGTCGTAATGTCGACTAAACAAAAACCTAAATCCGGTGGTGAGGAAATGCGCAGTTGCCTATCCCAATTTTGAACTCTAAAGTAACAATGAAACCATCTATGACTTGCCAACTAAGCATTTTCTCACTAAGGGCCATTCGCACGGGTACCACATAAAAGTATTCGTTAACTAAGCTTTAGATAAATTTAACGTGAAGTTTATAATAAGACGGTTCGCACCAACAGCTTTTAATCAACGCTTTATTTAACGAATAAAATACTTGGCAACTATGAGATTTTCTTCTTTTTTTATCATGACCCAGTATAAGATTGCTTTTCAGATATTTAGATTTATGGTATTTTTGCTATAAATGATTTCTAAATAATTTTTTTTTGTCTTTATCGATTTTTCCGTTTCTATTGTATTTACCATAAAATATATTTACTAAACAACTGGTTTTTTGGTTATTTCAAGAGTTATTAGTAAGAAAAAAAGTTATAAAAAAATTTTAAAAATTATATTTTTATTGAAGAATTATACAAATCTATTATCATGCGCTTCAAAGTAATCTATTAACTCATTTCTGAGGTTGATGGCAACATAATCATGTAGGGGTGGTAGGTCAGGGTCTCTAAATTGTTCAAGAACTTGAAGAAAATTGATATCATTTGCAAAGTAGCACTTCTACATATATTACTCAAGGGTGCTTCTTGTTCTTTAATAGGATTCATTAAAAAAAATCGAATAAACTCACAAAATGTATAACAATATTGTAGGATTTAATACAAACATATTATATGGAAATTTCGAATTATTCTCTATTTGCGATAATAATTCCAAAACAGCCTCTTTTGATAAACGAAATCTTAGAAAAAAGGTCTGTGGATCGAAACTATCAAAATATAAGCTTCTCGTATACACTCTTCGCGGTATTCCATTTAATATTCAACAGCTTCCAATTTATCATCGTCATCATCCCTTAACAGTAAATCCATTTTAATTTGGACACGACACCAAATTTTAAAAAATAATGGCTCACGTAATTATCAATTTGACAAATCTGTCACATACTGTCAATTTTCTTTCGTTAAAATCTTAAACCTCAAATATTTACAGTTTAGGTAAACTTATAATAGGGAGTTTTAGCAAACAGCCGCTAACCATCCGCTAACGTTACCTTAGGGATAGACTGTAATCTACTCTGTTCAATGTTTATGAAAAAGGTCACAATCTAAGTTTAACGTAACGTTAGCGGAAATCTTACGTACATTTGCTAAAACTCTCTAATAACTACTACTTAACGAAAAGAAAAATGACGGTGCGAATGAAAATGTCATTCAATGTCAATTTAACCTCAGCTTATCGCTTAACGAATAGTGGTGCGAATGGCCCTAAGGGATTTTTTTAGTCGTTAGCATGACAAGCGTTTCCATGGCATCCGTTTCTCCATAAGATCACGCTACGTTCCTCCCATCCACCTCCTAACAAGTACAGAGGAAAGCAAGCGCGCCCGGCCGCCCCTTTTTCACCTATATCATAAGATCACGCTACTCTCCTTCCACCCACCTACTAACCACTACTTGGCAACTACGCATTTCCTCACTGCTGGATTTGGGATTTTGTTTAGTGGTTATCATGACAAGCGTTCATATGGCAATAGTTTCTTCATAACTTATTTTGGCTAAATTAAAAAGTATATTAAATGATCTAAAACTTGGCAACTACGCATTTCTTCACAACGAGATTTGGTTTTTGTTTAGTCGTTGACATAACAAGCGTTTCCATGGCAACAGTTTTTCCATACCTGATTTCGGCTAAACTAAAGTGAACATTAAATGTTCTATAACTTGGCAAATACGCATTTCCACATTACGAGATTTGGGTTTTTGTTTAGTCGTTGACATGACAAGCGTGCCCATGGCAACATTTTTTGCATAACTGATTTCAGCTAAATGAAATTAAACAAAAACCGCAATCATCTACAACTTGGTAACTACGCATTTCCTCACAATGAGATTAGGGTTTTTGTTTACTTATAGCCATCACAATTGTTATCATGCCGACAGTTTTTGCATAACAGATTTCGGCTAAACGAAAGTTGAGCCATTTTTTCTAGTACCTGGCATTGTTTTACTTAAAATTGATAAGAATAAACTACCTTCTGGAGGGAATGAGGGCAAATTGGGGACACCTGGTAAAAGGCGTGTACGAAGTCTTAGCAATCTAGTGCGTTTTTGTAGCATTTTGCACCGTTTTTGTCAAAATTAATAAGTGTAAAGTAACCATTGGAGGTGATGAGGGTAAAGTTAATGCCACCTGGCAAAAACCTATTGTTGTTCTTTACATGTGTTACAACGTATATATTTCGTAAGCAATGTCTTTTTAAGATGTCATTAACAAGTGTTTATTCATAAATGTAAATTTAAAAAAAATTATAGCTATAATATACAAACGTACCATTTTTTCTTTGGCAGATTCTTGATGGGCCAAATAAAGTTGGCTCGATTTAACTTTTTTGGCAGCTCCAGCAAGTTGCTTTGTGATTCCCATAACCATTTCGACGTCCGAATAGGAGACCCTTTTAATTTCATTGTCGTCTTCCATTTTTTATTATTTAAAATACTTAAAAACATTAAATTCCTAATAAATATTGTCCATTTTAAAATTTAAATTCTACGTACCTTATTAAAATATTAAAAATAATTTAACATTACATTAAATCTAAATGTATGACTTTTAATTGACAGTTTTTTAAATATTTATTTAAATTTGTTACCCTGGCAATAAATATATATTTCAAATCACGATAGACAGACTAAAGGGCCCCACTCACCTCGTTCTTCTTCGCCGTTTTTAACCGACGGTTAAAAACGTTAGAAGAAAAAACGTTGGCTGATGTGTCCACTCACAACAGTTTTTTTCGCGCCAGTTTATCACGATGGACCGTACGTGCTTGTTAGCAGTGGCAGCGGTTTTGGCAGTGGAAAAAATCACGAAAAAAGAAAATCTCGAAGTAAATAAACTAAAGACTGGGTACTTAAACGCAGTACACTGTCACAAACAAATTTACTGAAGGAGCTAAGATTGGAGCCTGGTGATTGGTACAATTACTTGAAGATGGACGAAAATACGCATCGGAAACGTTAAAACTAGTAACACCGTTAATTAAGAGACATAATACCCATTTACGGGAATGCATCAGTCCTCACGAAGGCCTAACAGCTACTCTACGGTTTCTGGCCACTGGCCGCAGCTACGAGGATCTGAAGTTTCCTATTATTTCACCGCAGGCACTAGGACGCACAATACCCGATACCTGCCAGGCTCGATAAACTCTAATAAAAAATCTCTGGTCCACTGCCTAATATCCGACATTTTTATTATAACCAGTTGTAAATAATAATAAACAACAAAAACATGCTGAAAGTCACTGCTACTGATTAATGTCCGACCAGTCAAACTGTTGAGACCACACACCTCGTGTTTACTCGAACGGTTGGCACGATAACCGTCAAAAATCAAGACTCGCCTGAAATTTTGGAACGACGTTCATAAACGACGTTCTTGCCCATACACCTCGTTTTTGTGACATTTTTACCCTGACGTTTTTAACCGTCGGTTAAAAACGGCGAAGAAGAACGAGGTGAGTGGGGCCCTTAACGGTAGATATGTTCCTGAGCATGCAGCTGACTGACGGTGACGCATTAAATGGGAGATAGTGTTCAAAATTCGATATTTTGCCACTTTTAGATTTTATGCAGTTACTTAAGCTTTATTGGTTATTTTGTAATATATTTGTTTACAAATATGAAGGTTTAAGGTAAATAATATTAATAAAAATATTAATTTTTCTTATAAATTATAGGTATTTTGTGACAAAATCCATAACCTGGCCATAAGATAAGTAAAAGATTAGACTAAAAATACAAGTTTGACTTAAATTTGTACTTTCTGGGTATAGTAGTTCTCTTGCAATCTCTTTTCTTATTATGTAAAATAAAAATAAGTATGCAGAAACAAATTTTTATTTACAGAAAGTAAACATTACTTTTTATTAGGTAAATTTTTTGTCAAGTTTACTTTGAAAATACTCAAAACATTTCCTTTTCTTGCGTCTATGTTTAATAGAAATCTCAGAAATACTTTCCTCAAAATGGATAGGGCAATTTCAATTAAGTTTGTCCTTTCTTCGATAATAATTTACCCATATTTTGTGGCATTCAGAAATATCTTGACTGCGCAGCCCGGCATTTTAAACATTAACTTAGTTCTTCCATGTTATATATAGAAAAATATAGTCACTACTAAAACAAAAACATAAATTATTAAATTATTTTACACTACTCAATCGAAAAGTGTCAAAATAACTTGAAAGTTCGTCCCGTATTACGTCATGCGCGGTTTGAACAAATTTTCAATCGAAAGTCAGCATACTTTTAGTATGTGTATCCTGGTTATATGGATCTCGAGGCGTCGACAGTGAGGGGGGTCCGGAAATAATCCCTGGTGGGACATTCATTTAAAATAAATCGAAATTTTGGCCGTAGTTGCTCAGTGGCAAATGAGAAGAACATAGTTTCCAACAGGTGGGGACTTTTTTTTAGCCTGTCAAATGGTACGCCCACCTCGAAGATAAAAAGTCAATGAAGAATTTAATGAAAAATCCAGAGTCTCCGGGTCAAATTGACGATTTTGGTCCTTATCGACCAAAAGGATCAACTTTACCGGCAAATAACTATTTTAAAAGAAATTCGGCAGTTGTGATAATCAGAAAACCGTTTGCAAACTGATATGCAATAGGCTTTGTTATTAGCACACTCCTGACTATCAGTGGATAATTGGCAAAACTTAATTTGATTGACATTTCTTATTATGCAGAGGTTTTGTAATTATTTTCCACTACGATTTTCATTCATGCATTTTTTGCTGACTATTATTTTACTCGCTAATGTGTAAGATGGGATAATACCATAGAAATAAGATAATACAACGAAATATTTTTATTTGTACCTACCAAAGACATTAAAGCATAAAGACAAAATATTTCATTCATAAATTCCATACAATTGCGGACTGTTATTGTTTTAAAATTGATAGTGAGTGGAAAAGAGAGAGACAGATCTCTTAGAACGTTGTAAACAGTGTCCATAATATGCTCGCCAGTGGCGTAGAGTTTTAAACTTACCAGTATTGTCAGAGTAGTATGTTAAAAAAATACGTAAATAAGTAGGTATATTTTTTTAGTAATATAATTATAATGATTTTTTCATGTAGGTAAATTCAAGTACAAGTAAATTCAAATACAAGAGAATTCAAGTAACGTTCCGATTTTTAATATTTATTGGTTTATAGTTTATTGGCATTTACTATTTATTTGCCTGGTATGATGTTAACCAAAATTATTTAAAATTTTAAATTAACATTAAGTAGGTAGGGGTATTTAAATAAAACACTGTCCTAAAAATATATAATTTTTTAATTTATAATTACAAAAAACATGGTATGGCAAAAAATATCGTAAAAAAACTGTAAAAGTTTTTTAAAATAACGTTTTAAATATATTAAATTCCTTAATTTTATTAACTAATATTTACTTCATTTAATTTTTTATGCATAGTTATTAGTGTTATTACTTACTGCAATGTATTTTTTGCAGCAGGTGGTGTTCCAAAAATAGTTGAATCAGATCTAAAAACCCATACATTAGATATACATACATATAGGTAATAAATGATGTTTAGAGGTAAACAAAAAAATTATATTTTGTATTTTTACCTGTTGGATAAGTCATCCAAAAATAGAAAGCCCTCACACATTCTGGGGTTTGCATCTTTTCTGATATATTTAGCACCATTTGCACGTACCAAAACATCTTCAGAAAAAAAAATGTTCTGAACACAACTCTGGGTTTTTACGAAGGGGCTGATTTTCAAGGATCCCTACTAGAGAAAACCAATTTTTTTTTTCTCAGGATCTTGCCGAAACCTAAATAGAATATTAAAAAATATGTATAGGTGCCTAATAGGTTAATCATTTTTAGGGTATTCTACATTTTACGTTAAATTTTCTTTGCCACTATTCAATATTTATTTATTGGTATGAGAATAATTTACTAATTTATAAAAGGAATATCACTTTAGACTACACATATTTTTGATACAATTTCTTGTACAATTTAAATTGTATATTATCAAACCTGCAGTAAATTGTCTGAAAAATTAGATTGGATAATAATTTTTCAAACAGTTTACTATGTGATCCTATACAATTTAAATTCTATAAGAAATTGTATCAAATCTTGTACAAGAAATTGTATAGTCAAAACAGTCTTAAGACGGGTGCCCTACTCCACTGGTTCAAATGAAAACAACATATCTTAACCTAAAAATACTTACCTTAAATGATTTACCTTATTGAACACTACACATGCATGTATAATACCATAATTCTTTATATTTATCACAAATGTTCACAAAAATAGTATTTTATAAAGGAATAAATCAATAAGTCACACAGAAACTGTCAGAAACACAAAATAGCTGTTAGACCAGATTGGCAACGTTGCGGCTGGTTACGGCAAACTACATTTCATTCATATAAATAGGTACTAGTTGTAAATTCGCAAAATAAGATATTCGGCGTTGCCATATTTACGGAGTTCTTTGCAACCTTAATATTTTGTTTAGATTAATATTGATTTTTAATAAAAAATGTAGCTTATATTAAAGAATAATTTGATTATAAACATATTTTTATTTATATAATATAAAATTATAGTTATAGGATACACCAAATTTTATTTTTCGAAAGTAATTTCTCCAAATAATTTTTACAGACTGATAAAACCAGCAAAGACGCAATAAACGAGAATCTGGTGGGAATAATGATTTGCCACATAAAAATATAAACAATTTGGTCTCTTAGTTGTAATGTCTTTGGTTCTTTCGTTCGCTGTTGGTGCAGTGTCCACCATTGTAAATTACACCAGTTACACCATCTTATTTACCTGGTTTACTTCCTTCCTTATTCCTTATACACATGTCGACTGTAATTCACACCCGCTAAATAGCTGAGAGAGGAAGTATCCACCAGTGGACACCACAATGCCGATCGAAAGGTTAGTGGATTTTACACCGGTCCAAACGAAAGGTATGGTGTCTTACACCAGTGGGATGAACGAAAGAACCTATTGTATGGGTTACCAAAGGTTTCCAGAATCAGGTGCGGATACAACGGGTGGGTTAAAAGGGGTTCCTGAAAAATTGATCTAAAAAAATCTAAAACAATTGATCTAATATGAAATGGTCTAAACAAAGATAATCTAAAATACATTTGAACTAAATCACCTATTATCTAAAACACATTTGATTAATTTTTTTTTATCTAATTGCAATGGCTCTATAATACATTTGTTCTAAAAAGTTAGAATATTATAAAAATAATTCAAAACTGTTAAGCCTAAACAATCGAGAAAGTGAACGCATGTATGCCTAATATAAGAATAAGTTGGTTTAATTCCTAGGCGTGACAGAAAGGCATCCCAAAATTTAGCTGTAAATTGACTACCATGGTGAGTAAAATTTTTTTCTACGGACCCATGTTTCATAAAAAATAATAATTTTGCAATATATTTAATATGGCCCTAGTTGTTGCTTTTTTAAGGGGATAAAGCGTAATAAATTTTAAAAAAGCATCTATTATTACACAAAGAAAAGTATTCTAACACCACCCATAGATTTCACTTAGGGACTATACAAATCCAGGGATATTAGTTCATTAACTTTTGAAGGTGGCACCGTTAAAAAC